CAAGTGCATTGCTTCTTGTTTATGATGCTTACTTCTGCTATAAAGGATGAATACATAACATCTGTTTTCTAGAATTGCTATTATGTATAGCAAATCCTTTATAAATAACCATTATTGTAACACCATACATTCTAAGGTCAGGGTAGGCAATCTTAAATAGAACCAAAAGACACGAAGATTCTAGAAGTCATAAGAATTTAAGGCTCAAAATGTCTACTTAATATGGACTTTCTTGAGGCAGTGTTATCTGAAATCTGAGAATGAGTGAGTGTGTGTGTGTGTGTGTGTGTGTTTAGTTTCCCCTACACCACGTGGGATTCTGAGTCGATATGAAAACAGCTGACAGCACTAGATAAAGATGATTATAGCAAAGAATTTAATCAATAACCACTTTTATCTCCTCAACACACATTACACCTTTAAAAATTATTTGCACAAATGTTTATTCTTAGCTAGTCTCAGAGTAAATAAGGCCGTGCTGGGTGAAAAGTCAGAAAAACATTAGAGGAGAAGAAGCAGTTCTGAGTGTCAAAAGAAAAATTCTGTGGTCAAGACTGAGGAGTAAATCTTTCCTTGATGATAGGATACCACAGGATCACCACCGGCCACAATAATGTCATTTCTGACATCGATTCTGGAGGCATATGTATCTCATATCTTTGGAGACATTTCAAGTTAAATCCAAGCACATCATTGATAAAACAGTAAAATGATGTTTCTGATGAAAGATAAATTGTATAATTTAGTACTAAAATGCCTTAGGAAGAAAACCTGAATCTTTAATGACAAATTGTTCAAATCTGTACATATTAATGTCCTTAAACATGTATTAGGAAAGGAAGGATTTTGTTTATTTTATTAAGTGTTAAATGCTTGAAGAGTCTGGAATAGGGATTGTAAACCATGAAAGGACATTTTTTTTAAGTTTATTTATTTTGAGAGAAAGAGACAGCATGTGTGTGCAAGCAAGCAGGGGAGAGGGGTGGCCAGAGAGTGAGAAAGGGAGAGAGAGAGAAAGAAAGAGAGAGAGAGAGAGAGAGAGAGAGAGAGAGAGAATCCCAAGCACTCTCCACGCTGTCAGCACAGAGCCCAACATGGGGCTCAAAGTCACAATCTGTGAGATCATGATCTGAGCTGAAATCTAGAGTCGGATGCTTATTGACTGAGCCAACCAGGTGCCCTGAAGGGACATTTTTATTTTATTTGTTTTATGTTTGTTTGTTTGTTTGTTTGTTTAGAGAGAGAGAGAGGATAAGAATGAGCCGGGAGGGACAGAGACAGAGCGGGGACAGAGGATCCGAAGCAGGCTCTGTGCTGTCAGTGCAGGGCTCAATGTGGGGCTCCAACTCATAAACCATGAGATGGTGACCTGAGTCTAAGTCAGACGCTTAATCAACTGAGCCACTGAGACACCCCCCAAAAGGGCAGTTTTAAAAAATATTATTTTAAAAAGACTTTATTAGCTAGCTAAAACAATAAATACTTCCCCACACATAGTGAAATAAACACATGCATTGTCTTAAGAATACGTGTGTCCTGAACAATCTTGGGGCCCAAGGGAGGGGGTTGAAGTTGGCTGAGGAGCATTCTTTGTCTTTACCATGACAACTATTGGTATTTATTTCAAGGGGATCCTAAAATGGAATTAGCATATTAGCATATTTGTAGGAAAGTCTGTTGATTAGGAAGTGAGAAAATCAGGGTATTCAAGTAACGAACTGTCAATCTGTGTGTGTGTGCGTGTGTGTGTGTGTTTCTCTCCCAGGCAGCAAGTGTGTGTGTATGTGTGTGTATGCATGTGTGTCTCCTGGAATTTTTTGAGCTAGCAATAGTAGAGCCTGTAATCCTGATATTCTGTCAAGATTTATGCTTTTCATCTTCTCTTGTGGTATGAATGACTATTTAAAAAAGTTTTAGCTAGCCCTCAATGGGCCAAGAGCAGAGGAAAGGTGTTATTATCTAAACTTGAGACACTTTAAAGGAAGGACATGCAGACTTGAGCCTAGAGCAGTGGCCATGTCTATGGCCTTGGGACTCAAAAAGAAAGTCATCCACGTGGAAGGTGATTTCTAGAAAAAGAAGACCTTTCCATCCATGAAGCTTCCTTTTAGCGTTAAACCCTAAAGAGTCTCAGTGACCATGAGAATGTGTGTGTGTGTGTGTGTGTGTGTGTGTGTGTGTGTGCTTAAGGAAGATTGCCGATTTCCTTATAGGGTATCACGTACTTAAGGGGTCATTTAAAAGAACCAAATACTACCCTCTCTAACTAAATAATTGCTCATAAATTTCTAAAATGTATTTTTAAAAGCACATGTTTCCCTTTGTGTGAAGTTCGGCTTATTGAACAAAATAAAACTAAGAAACCCACTTAAGGCATTGAATGTTATTATAATTTCAATTCTTCAGTAAACACAGGAATTCTTTTTGATTTCTTTGTTTTTACTTGTACTTAAAAATACTTGTGCCTCTTTAAAATCGGATTAAGAATGAGAGTTAGTCTTTATTTTACATCACCTCGTTAAACCATCATGATTTCATTTTCACTCATTAGGAAACTAAAATCAGAAGTGTTAGTAACCTGTCTGAGCTCAGTAAAGGGTGTAGTCTGCATTCGACCATGGCCTGAGAAGTACACTTGGAAAGCTGTGCCTGCTTGTGCTATATCTCTTTGCAAATTACTCTGACATTATCATGAAATTAACAGTAAAATCATAATAAGCCAAAGAAGCACATATCCATTATCCCCAATGGAAACCATATACAACCCCAAATCTTTATTTTAAATTTTTTTAACGTTTTATTTATTTTTGAGACAGAGAGAGACAGAGCATGAACGGGGGAGGGGCAGAGAGAGAGGGAGACACAGAATTGGAAGCAGGCTCCAGGCTCTGAGCCATCAGCCCAGAGCCCGATGCGGGGCTCGAACTCACGGACCACGAGATCATGACCTGAGCTGAAGTCGGACGCTTAACCGACTGAGCCACCCAGGCGCCCCCAATCCCAAATCTTTAAAGTAAAAGCATGCAACTCACACGAAATCAACCACCAGTGGTGCTCCCACCCACAGGGCCTAATTTAGTCACTTTCTCCATAGTTCCTTTATGTAGTACTTGATGAATGTTTATTAGTAAGAATTTTTTCTTTCTTTCCTTAAATGGTGGATGAACACCATGCTTTAAGTAGCACAGTGTGGATGTTGTGTATGTAGCTCAAGCTCTCAGGAAACCGATCAGGGAGACGAAATAAATCCAAGATAGTGTGGGAGAGAAACTGGAATATGAATTGGAAGCTGGAAGAGGGGCTGCAGAAACGCCTCTGTAGCTCCCTGAAAACCACCAGCACAGGCAAAAGTGTTGTGCCCACATATGTTCTTGGCCAATTAACAGGGGAAATCCATCTTTTCAGGTTAGCAACAAACAATAAATAATGGTTTTTAATGGGCTGCAAAGACAGTGATGGCTGTGAGCACATTATCAGTCATAAGATCATGATCACTAAGTGTATCCTGTGCACTTGTACCTGTGCTACCTAATTTATAAGCCACAGATCATTCCAGAATTTCTTTTTTCTAAGGTTTATTTATTTATTTTGGGTGGGAGGGGCAGAGAGAGAGGGAAAGCCCGCAGAGCCTGACACGGCGCTTGATCTCACAAACATGAGATCATGACCTGAGCCGAAATCAAGAGTCGGATGCTCAACCGACTGAGCCACCCAGGTGCCTCTACAGAATTTCTTTTTAATAATTAGTGTCACGTTTCACCAAGTCTCTCAGGCTTTTTCAAAAACACTATCAAAAATTAGCAACATTGAAAAGTTTCTATTTTCACACTATGAGGTCATCTAGTGATGATTATAATTATTTTTAGAAATGAAGAAAGAGGAGATCATTACATTATCCCAATTTCATTATTTAGAGGTGGTAGTCAAGAACATGCAGGGGGCACCTGGTTGGGTCAGTTGGTTGAGAGCCGACTTTGGCTTGGGTCATGATTTCACAGTTTGTAAGTTTGAGCCCTGGGTCAGGCTCGCTGCTGTCAGCACAAAGCCCGATTCGGATCCTCTGTTCCCCTCTTCCTCTGCCCCTCCCCCCATCTTCTCTCAAAAATAAATAAAGAGTCAAAAAAAAAAAAAGAACATGCAGTATAGATTCTTAAGAGACATCAAGAAATGCCTGTTAGGTTAGAGAACAGTGTAGTTAAGTAAGCAATGTGTATCACATAAACCTCAATTTTGTTATGCCTCATATTTCATCCACCGTACCTGCACATTTTCAGTATGCTATGGACTGAATTGTGCGTCCCTAAAATTCCTGTTGAAGCTCTAACCTCCAAGATGAGAGTATTTAGAGACGGAATCTTTAGAAGTAATTAAGTTTGGATGAGCTCATGAGGGAGCCCCCTACGATGAGATTAGTATCCTGATAAGAAAAGTCCTGAGAGACCTTTCTCTTTCTCTCCCCCTTAGCCATAAGGGGGCACAGCAAGAAGATGGCTGTCTGCAAGTCTAACATAGGATCCTCACAGGAAACTGACCCTTCATCTTGGATTTCTAGCCTCCAGAACTCTAATTAATTCCTGTCGTTGAAGCCACCCAGTCTATGGCAGCCTCAGCTAAGACATGGTGTTAGCCAAAGTCCCTACAATCTATTGATAAGTAGCAAGATAAACCCATTTGTTAACGGACTCAAAACCTACAACGACTCTCAGAGGAGATAATATGGAAATGTTGTACATTCAAAAGCTAATATATATTGAGCTATTTATTAGTTACTTATTTCGATACATCACAATGGCACAGAGCCACAAGTCAGGACGCCTGGGTTGTGCCTTAGTATTTTCTCCCAGTTGCCAGGCAACTTGGGAAAGCCTCTTACCGGCTCGATGGATCAGTGTCCTTTCCTCGCATAATGATTGGTCTGAAAGATTCCTGAGGCCCCTTCCAGTCTCAGAGCTCGACAACCGTGAGTGCACTTTAAATAACGGAAGGCCACTCGCACTTACCGTTCTGCTCTCTCTGTACTCCAGCTGCCAGGAGGTCGGGCTCCCCAAGGCTGATGTCGTTCAGCCGTGTCCCCAGACACTCCATGCAGAGATGTTTGCACCATTCTTCAGCCTCCAGCTCTGAAAATGAGCACACACCATCAAAGTCAGAGAGCGCTTCGCAGGGACGACACAAGAAGGCTATTTCCTGACCCATTTCCCTGGGTAGGTAGGAAGAGTTCAAACTCTGCCTTAAGAAGGCAAAACGAAAGCTATATTCAAGGAGTGAAACAAAAATCCCCACAGTTATTTCCCATGGGCTGACATGACAACATTATAAAGTGATTTTAAATTATTTCAATGTACTTTCTCTTACGTATGAATGACAGTCAGAATATTTATTATCTAGCATATATACATATGTATATATATAAATGTTATTAAAATCTAAGCTAGTTAACATACAGTGCAGTAATGGTTTCAGGAGTAGAATTTAGTGATTCATTACTTATATACAACCTCCAGGGCTCATCCCAACAAGTGCCTTCCTTAATGTCCATCCCCCGTTTAGCCCATTCCCCCACTCTACTCCCCTCCAGCAGCCCTCAAGTTTGTTCTCTGTGCTTAAGAGTCTCTTACGGTTTGCCTCCCTCTCTGTTATCTTATTTTTCCTTCCCTTCCCTTATGTTCATCTGTTTTCTTTCTTAAATTCCACATATGAGTGAAATCATAGGATATTTATCTTTAAGATTGCTTTAGTTTTTGGAGGGGGAGTACTTAGAAAACTTAATTAAATATAAAATAAAGATATATAAATGAATCTTTGAAAAATGTCAGATTAAAATAAACAAGAAGATGCTTTCCTGAAAGTGACTTAGATCTGCATGGGTTGAAGGTCTGATCCTTCATTCTGAACTGCAATGAATCAAAGATCAGCACAAGAATGTGATAGCTTCTCTTTTGTAAACATCAAAAATTGTCCATCTTTGAAACAAAAATGGGATAGGATACTCAAAGTAACTTTCCCTTTCGGAAAACTCCAATTTATCTAAGATATTGGTTATCTTCCAACTTCTTTATATTTGCAAGCTTCTTCTTTGCTTGAAACATTAGAACATCTTACACCTACACAGAATCTTACAGTATCTAACACTTTCACAAACATCAGTGAATTTGATTCTTATATAAGCCCTTGTGTGGGTGAGGTGGGTAAGGGTTAGTGTCGCACCTGGGTCCCATATCACTGGTTGGCACCAAGATAGAACTGAAGCCCGGATCTTGTAGATACTATAATATGAAGAACTTGAGAACGGCTATGAGATTTAAAAGTTGGGGCCAAGCCCGAAAATCGCTGCACAGAAATTGGGTGGGAACTTTCCATCGACACCTGCCCGGAGAAATTTCTGACTTTTCCATGTAGCATAAATCTGCACTACAGCAGTTTAATATAGATTGCCTTCAAATCTGTTAGTCTCCGCAGATGACATTCCAACCTTTGCCTTGGCATTTTAAACTCCCCATAAAAAGTTACCTGTGACAGGTTTTCTTGACTCCAGGGGTTTGAATACCAACTGCTGTGCTCAACAGTCAACACCATCAAACCTGGGTGATGTTTCCTTCCTGTGCTTAGTCACTCTGCCTTAGCATCACAAACAGGTTTGATCAATGAGATGTCAGGCCAAATTTGTCATTTAGTTTTAGCTTTATCAAGACCACAAAATATTGTTAGAAAATAAAAAGAGCATGTAGTCTTGCACAGGGTACCGTTCTGATGAAAATAACAGTTTGTATGCTCTAGTCATGAAAGGTGTTTTCTTTTTTCTTTTTTTTAAAGTGTATTTATTTATTCTGGGAGAAAGAGAGAGAAGACAGGGGGAGGGGCAGAGAGAGAGAGGGAGAGGGAATATCCCAAGCAGGCTCTGCCCTGTCAGTGTGGAGCCCGATGTGGGGCTTGAACTCATGAAGCTGTAAGATCATGACCTGAGCCGAAATCAAGAGTTGGACGCTTAACCCCCTGAGCCACGCAGACACCCCAGGTGTTTTCTTTACATAAGGTATGCCTTGCATATGTCAGGGACCATCCTCTCAGCAGTTCTACATGCCATCTACTAAGTCACAGAGGAAGTAGATCCTCCTGTGACCCTGACCTCTTGCTCAGGTGGAATTCAGAGGCTGGGTCTTGCTGTTTAGGCATCTCCTCAGGAACCTAGAAAATAATCCTTCCCAGTCGCAAGGGCGCTAATAAAAAAAAAAAAAA